AGAGTGTGCTTTCCTGCTTGCTGCTGTTTCATTTTAAAGTAATTAAACTGAATCTCATCTTATAACACTTGGTCATTTTTCTTGCTTTCATAAAAAAAATGTTTTGATGCTTTAGGTTTAGCCACGCTGTGCTAGGGTTAGGCTGACAAGATATTTTCTGCCAAGAGGCGCTGACAAAATATAGACTCAGTCAAAACAAGGTCTTTCACATTTCCAAATAAATCTCTGCAGATAACACTTTCACGTGTCCTTCAACATCACACGCTTATGCAGAAATAACAGGAATCAAAAGGAGACAGATTTAGCCGAAAATTGGTTGGTGTTCAGGTTTAAGGGTTGCTTAAGGTTATTTTGCRAACACATCCCACTTGAGGTCACAGTGAAAATGTTAATTATCGCAAACTCTGCCAGAAAAAGCACAGATCTCTCACAAATGTAGGCTGTTTGGATCAGACTAAATTGTTTGGCTCCACTCATCTGATTTGTGCTGGAAAAATGTTTACTTTCTTTTATTTTGATCCTGGAGATCATATAGGAGAACGCTGGTTAATGCAGCTTTTGGTCCTTTTAAGCACAGGGGTTTTGTTCAAAAAGAGACATTTTGGCATGTTGAAAGATGATCAGCTGGCTTTTATTTACATGTGAATTATTGCGCGTCAGATTGTCACATGGAAAACATTTCAATGCGGGTGTGTCGGCATTTGTTTTTCCCCAGAATGTTTTTTTTTTTTCAGTTTTGAGTGTACGACTCTACGCCAATATGCCTCAAGTTCATAAAGTTATTTACGCTTTTTTTTTTTATCAGAATCAACTTCAAGGTGAAGTTTGTTGGAATGAGTGAATGTCATCCGTCTGGTCATGCTATATTGTTTTCTTTCTTTGCTTTTCTTGAAAGATAAATCATTGTTTCTTTTAGAACAACATGACAGTAGATAAACGATGGCCTTGTCAGAGGTCGTGACATCAGTGYTGTCCTTAAATATTTTCTGTAAGGTTTCAATACGTCAAAAAGAATCAATACTAACCCACTGACTTTATATCAGTTTGGCACTGCTGTGACTCAAGTTTCCTCCTTTCAATCTCAGCCGACAGAAGCAGAAACTTTTTATAGAGCTGCTCATGGTTTAAAAAATGGTCACATGTGATTTGGTCCGTTTTTTTTTTTTTTTTTAGCTGTCAACAGATCAATAACTGAGTGAAACGTAGTCGAGTTAGTGAGTGATGCTYTTCATGCTCACAAAGTGCAGAAAGTGCGTCAGCAAGCAGGATTTATTATCTGTTTTGGCCACGATGTGCCATCACACAACCTTGGAAAGACACCTGAGCTGCAAACCTTCATTTCTCAGTGACTTGGTGCACGCTTTTTTTTTTCTTTTCATTACATGAGACTGAAGCATCCCCGTCCTTTATCTTGTCYTCTGCAGATCGTCTCTTTTACAGCTCCTCTGAAAGAAAACAAAAACTGTAGATAAACTTCAAAGCTGTTAATTATTTATCTAAACCAACTYGAGCCTTCCCTTCTGATTTGCTCTGTGCAGTTTAAAGAGTGATGCTTATGTGTTGGTCTCCACAGTTGAGAGCCACTTGGCTTCCAACGTCCATAAGAGCCGCCTGGTGCAGCAGGACCTGCAGTGGGCCAAGAAGCTGCAAATGGAAGAGGACGAGATTGCCAAGATCCAGAGCCAGAAACAACAAAATGCCATGTGGGTGTCTTGAATACAACACACCAGTTCACCACACTGGAAACAGGAACTGAAACGTAACACAAACTAGAGACCTTGCATTTCCTGCGAAAATGCAGCGTGAATGCAGCCAATTGCTGAATAATTTCGCTGAAAGCTACAGAAGAAGCTGAAATATTTTTTAAAGGTAGAACTATTAAAGCTTGCTGAATTTTTACAGTTGAGATGGAGCTCAAAATCAGCTGAATGATTGCTGAAATTTGCTGAAGAACCCAAACTGTGAAAACAAAAGCTTCAAGGTGCAGAGAACAGCTAAAAAAAAAATGCAAAAATATGCAGATAAAGTGTGAAAAGTGTAGAACTAAAGCTGAAGAGGGCAGAAAAGGATGTGAAAGGAACACAAAAAAGTTTAAAGTATCAGAATAAGTGGAAATTAGCAAATCTCAAATTGGCTAGATAGAAATCGAAGGAAGCTGAAATTAGAACAGAAGTTACAAAAAGTAGAACCAGAACAAAATGTAGAAAGTACCTCAAAGATTTATGAGCATTTTGAAGAGTTTTGAGGATGAAGATGGCTCCGTTCATTTGCAATGAGAAGAAAGATGGCCCAAAACAAAAAAAGCTAAATATTGTGAGTTCTTGATAAGCATTCACACAGTGCTCCTTCAAAGAAGCAGCAATTAGAACATAGCAATGTAACCAAAAATTAAAATTACTRGTTTGACCAAATGTTAAGTCATTCTGCTCTCTCTCTTTGTCTCTCGAGCTAAATTGCACATCGTAGAGCAGTTTTTACTTGATTTGATTTTTATTTGTTTTTTTTTTTTTATGGACAGCAGAAATTAAATGTTTGGAGCGTTCACGCAGCCTTTAAACAAAGGTGCCGCTGCAGTTATAGCATCTGTCTCTGATTAGTGTAATCTTRTGTGATTACTGTTAAACCAGATTAGTTCTATACCAGCAAAACGACTCAGAAATCCMACTGTAGATAACTCCCACTGCCTCCTACTTATTAATAACTTTAATCCCGTTAGTAATAAGAAACTATTTCAGAATGCCTTTGTGTATATTTTCCCCAAATGCCAGTTTTTTTTTTACCAATTATGGGCATTTCTTTACTCATAAAATTAAATAAAGACAGTCGTGATTTAGGAAGCTTTTGAACTGCACTCTGATTCTGTAGAAACTATCAGCCGAAGATGCAAACATCCTAAGCCAAGGCTATTCAACTAAATCGCTCCGGGGGCCACAGTTAACGCAGACCAGCAGCTCGGGGGCTGAACATCCAGCAATTAAAGTTATGTAAACGAACTAAGTATTACAAAGTTCTGCTACCTTTTGAAATAGTTTATTTTGCTGTATTTAATCATGAAAACATACAGAACCCTATTTAATAAATGTAGTGATGATTAAAAAAGAAACCTATTAATTATGCCTCTTATTTACCAGAAAATATTTTGATATTCGGCCTCACCTCGACGCATGGCTCTGGTTCTGGAACCAGTCTCCTTGAGAGGGGCTGGACGTACTTCCACTCTGGAGTTGCCTGCGGTGAGAGGCGCCGGGCAGGAGTGGGCATACTTGTTGCCCCCCATCACCCCCATCTTGGCGCCTGTACGTTGGGGTTTACCCCGGTGAACGAGAGGGTGGCCTCCCTCTGTCTAAGGGTTGGGGGACGGGTTCTGAC